TTTTCCAGCACTCAAATAGCAGTGTTGCTAGATAAATATAATTTGTTCCACTGTTACATGGTGGGTGACTATTGAATGTTGGAGTAGTATGTAGAATGAAGTTGCATGGTTGTTGGGGTACCTACACAGGTGATAAGCAAGGCACTCTCAGAGCTGCTGATGCCATATTAGTCCAGTTAAGCAGAGTAATGCTTTTGTGGTGTCATCTCAAGCGATGAATGAATGTGGCAGATATTGCACATGGGTTTAATGCAAAAAAAGCCTCAGCCATTTATAAATCTCTGTGTTTTTTCTAGTAATAAGAGTTTTATTCTGATCTGTTGTTCATTTCCAAAGGTCTCTGTCTGTTGTGAAGGCTACTATGGTCATATGTGTGAAATGTGTCCAGGAAAACCTGGCAAGTGGTGTTCTGGAAATGGGATATGCCAAGATGGCATATATGGCAGTGGAGAATGCCAGTGCCATGAAGGTTTCTATGGTACAGCCTGTGAAACATGTCAACCAGGGAGATATGGAGCAAGCTGCAAAGCAGGTGACTAGTTTCTGAAGTGCTGAACTTCTGTGATACTTTGGGAAGGGGAACTATATACTTTAGAACATTCAACAAGATCTATGGCTTTGGAGCATTCTTCGCTTCTAGCATCCGATACTGTCGGGCTGCTTCTATACAAAGGTTTGACTCTGCCTTGACTTCCAAACTAGACCACTTTTTTCTTGGGAGCTTCCAGAGGACATCATGATATCATCCTCTTTCTGGATTTTCCCACTTCTTCAATACTCTTAACTTCTATCTTAAGGCAAGAATTCAGACCGTACATGATAGCATGCTGTATCAGAAGGAATGGTGGGCATTTTTCCTGCTCTGCAAATGTCTCATCAACATCTCCATAATTTTCCTTCAGTCTGGCCTTGGCAGATGCCATTTTCCCAGCATGCTTCTTCTGCTGTAATGCTGGGAGGATTTTTGAGTGTCCTTAAAAAAAAAAGAACAGTAAGTGCTACAGGGTTATAATGTTATAACAATCCATTGCTTATATATTTCAGCTTTTAATAGAATCATTACATAACCATACTAGAGAGCAACAAAGAAAGAACAACAAAGAAAGGGGCAGAAAATAGCCACAATGGCTGTGAAGACTATGGGTGATTTCGCACTAGAGCTGCCTCGCGGTTGCACCGCTGTTTGCCCTGACACTATTTGTCAATTTCACACCTGAGGCTGCAGGGCTGCATTTGACCCGCGGCTTCGCCCGATTTCCTCCGCAGTTTCGTGATCCTCAAAAACCAGGATCATGAAACTGTGGAGGAAATCGGCGAAGCTGCGAGTCAAAATGCAGCCCCGCAGATTAGGGTGTGAAATTGACATATTTGTGTCAGGGCAAACGGCGGCGCAACCACGAGGCAGTTCTAGTGCGAAATCGCCCTATGCCTCTGACAGCCAACATGAGGTTGCTGCTGAGTACGTGTGGAAGGGAATAGTTGAAAAAAGGATGAAGGAAAGTGTGCAGAAAACTCCCAAGTGTGGAAACTCTGTTGCCACCATAGATAGTTATGTATTCACAGTGGTGATGAAAGCAACTCAGAAAATCTTCACTGTGTAGAAGTGGGCATTATTAGCAGTTATGCTAAAGGAAAGAGATGCGTAGTGATAAGTGTTGATGAGGTTGTACAAAATCAGACATGACTTAATGCTAGACTGGTGTATATATTCCTTGACAGAGACATCATGTTTTCCCCACAGAGTGCAATTGCAAGAATGGTACATGCAAGGAAGGACTTCTGGGAGATGGAAGCTGTATATGTAACCCAGGCTGGAAAGGGATCAGTTGTGACAAAAGTAAGTGAAGAAAGGATATATGGGTACAGTGCAGATTATCTTTGCAAAGAGGAGGTTGTGATGTTGCCAACAATAGAAACAAATAGAATGACATTTCAAAACTTATGAGACAAATTCCAGATGAGCTGGAGAAAGACATAAAGTCCTATGGAACCTCAAGGATATACTAGTTATTGGTGGAATTCTTAGCCAGGAACTTGCTTAATTAGGCATATAAAATGGAATGAGAAGGTAGCTCAGTGTAAACGTAGACGGTCACATGCTACAGGGGAAAGAAAATAATGATGTGTTTATCATTATATACAATTCTCAACATGGCCAAATCGGCAGATACTTAAATCTAGAGATTGGAGCTGTGAATAAAGAAGACAGATCTTTCTATAAACCTGAAACAAGATTTGCAGAAAAATCTGAAATCTTAAAAAAAAAAAAACAACCCACAACATCTTGGAGGGTTAAACCCTCCCAAAATAATACAAGCAGCACCTGTAGCTTTAAGAAATGAATGCCCTCTCACTGGCCATTGTGGTGGTTGCTAGATAGCCACAACAGTATTTCTGTCTTTAAAACCTTGATCTCTATCAATAAAAGGCATAGTGAGGTAACAAGGCCCTTTCCAGAACTCTTTTGGCCTTTTAAAGAGGACTCATTGGGGCCAGGCCCATCAGCAACCACAGAAGGGGTGGATTGGCCATTAAGGCCACCAGGAAAAGTCCTGGTGGGCCGATGGCCTGGGAAGTCACCTCCATCTGCCAGGCCTACCACTGTACCAAGGGAGAAGCAACCGTCATAGCTTTCACTGTGGTAAGATGACAGACTTCACCCCATGTGATGTGGATGATCTACAATGGCAGAGAGTGAGTGAGCTGTGCAGGTTCTGTGTAGGGTGGGCAAGCTGCAGTGGTGGCAAGAGAGCCAGTGCTTGCTGCCCCCCCCCCCTGTTGGTGAGCAGATGTGGGAATGGACTAGGGACAGGACCCTTTCCAGGGGTGTTTGTGTTTCCCAGTCCACCCCTGCTGGGTGACGTATCTTGCATGACTCACCCAAGACTGGCTGCTTGCTACTGTTCCAACATCAGCCACTGTATGAAAGTCAACGTGCTGTAGTGATTAGAGTTTCAGACTAGGATAAGTGAGACCCCAGTTTGAATTCCCACTTGGCTGTGGAAGCCAGCTGGGTGACCTTGGGCCAGCCACACATTCTCAGGCAAACCTACCTCACAGGGTTGTTGTGGGGATAAAATGGAGTGAGAGGAGAATGATGTAAGCTGCTTTGGGTCCCCATTGTGGGAAAGGGTGGTGTATAGATAATATTAATAAATAATAAAAATATAGCTGAATATGGGAGGAAGATGGAAGGTAGGTTGGTTGGTTGGTGGGAAGGGGAGAAGGAAGCAGGGCAATGTGACAATATGGGGCAACCAACCCCAGAAGGAGGGAAAGAAGAAATAATGTGGGGAGGGGATACAATGGAAAATAAGGTGCCCCCACAACTTATTATTGAGGCAGAAATTAAAGTCCCTGATTTGGAGAAAAAGTAGATGTAAGCAAAGAGCAACAAGTGCAGGAGCTTGCTTGGCACTGTGAGTTTACTTATAACCTTCCAAGGATATGGCACTTGAACTGAAAACTATATGCATATTACGAGCTAGGCATATTACAAACCAGGGTTCAGCATCCCTAGCTGAGTATAGTTTTAACTGAAAGATGTAGCAGAAGTTTTAGAGGAGAGGTTAGCTGTATTTTTCTACTAGGATCTTATGCTTGGAATTACTGTTGGTACCTACTCATTGTATTTTTACTTATTTTATGCCATTAAAGGTTTCTGAACTGAACTACTAAGAATAAGATTTGGGTGTTTGAGAATACTATGGAACAAAACAATGGAGACTCATATTGATCTAGTGCCCCCTTGTAGCTATAGAACAATGGAGTGTGAATGGATCAGCAGTTATGTGCTTCGTAGTGTATGCGTTTCTCCTATAATGGGATCTATTTATATTTCAGCATTCACCATTGCTGATGTATATTGGGAAAGAAAACTTAGACCTGATCTAATGAGTTCCTTATGTCACATTGATTTTGTGGCTGCTTATAAAAAAGCACTCCATTTTGGACATCAAAGTGGAGCAAAATTGCCACGTGTAAACATATGCTCCACACTGTTAGTGCAATCCAAAACAGAGTTGCATTCTTCTTATGTCATTGACTTCAATAGAAGGGTGTAATTCTGTTTAGGATTGCACTGTAAGTGTGAATGTTAAGACTTTGGTCAAGGCTGCTACTTCCGACACACGATCCCCAAATTTCATTAACACTATCTGATGCAGCACAGGGAAACTGCTTTTGAAGCATGTAAAAAGTCTTGCTACCCACATAGATCTTGATCTATGGGTTAAGGTTAGGTTTTGTATTTAAATTAAAAGGCAAGAAATGAAGATGTGAAAACATTAACTTTGCCCTCCTGCAAATGCTTTCTGGAGATTTGCAGGCTGTGCATTAATACAAAGGTTCATATTCAACCAGTGTACCAATAGAAGTGCTAATAAACCATTTACATTCTAATGTCATAATAATGTCAAGGTTTAAGTAGGTTATAAATGGCTTGAGACCAAATTGTGTTCTTTGATGAGAAAGTAATATTCTAACAAAATATTATCTTGCAGAAATTGACATCGATCTTTGCAATGGCACGTGTGATATGAATGCCAAGTAAGTATAGGTCCAGAACAGAACATAAAATATGCTCCTGACTATATCTCCATGGACCTGCATAATGAGCGTTTAAGACAGGGAGGCTTGACCTAGCAGCTGGAAAACCTTAGCATCTGCAATTTTAATTGCTCTGTCTTTTAAAATCACCTTGCAGCTTAATAAGCATATTCTACTCCAGAATTAATTTGTCCGAGCAAGGGCCTTTCACATACAGAGCTTGTTTAATATTGAGTGAAATTTCTGTTAAAAATGCATCTTCCCTTTCTGAAAATACAGTATGAACGTGTATCTGGCTTCAGGGGCTGGGATCTGGGCCTAGAGGTCAACCAATCTGCCCGTGAAGAGGTGCATAGGAGAAATTAGGCAGGAGTTGAATCCAAAGCAGTATTGCATATCCAGACATCCAGAAGCAGTTGAAACCAGGCATGGACATGGTTTGGTGCCAGACGTCACTGAATGGTTCTTTATACAGCCTGGCAGTGCTGGCACTGCAGCCTAGATATTTAGGATTGCCAACCTCCAGGTGGGGCCTGGAGATCTCCTAGAATTACAAATGATCTCTAGACTAAAGAGACCAGTACCCCTGGAGAAAATGGCTGCTTTGGATGGTGAACTCTAGGGCATTATACCTTGCTGAGGTCACTCCCCTCGCCAAACCTCACCCATTCCAGGTTCCACCCCCAAATTCTCCAGGTATTTCCCAGTCCAGAGTTGGCAACCCTATTGCCGTTGAAGGCCAGATCTCATTCTGCTCCATGGGCACAAAGTGCCAGTGGTTCAGGAGGTGAGGTGCTGTAGCTTGGCTTCTGCAAGTCACCGTGAGACATACACAGCACATGGATTGTTACAAAATAAATATCACTCTGTGCCTTTCCCCCATACATTTCCACAAAGAGCATGGCCAAGGTGTACTAAAGGAGGAGAGATCTTGACTGGCCTGCTAATAATCACAACCACCCAAGTCTTATGTTTGTGTATCAGGAGTAGACACTTGGAAGTGGCTTTCTGTTATGATGGGCTGTGGTTCTACTACTACTTAGGAGAAAGGTGGGATGTGCATGTTATAACTACATAAATGCCATGGTTTGAGACATACAAACTGCCCTCCCCATGTGGGACAGTTGCTAATGTTCCATCTTATTCATTTAAAACATATAAATACTGCCTTTCTCCTGAGATTCAAGGAGCCTCACACAGGCAACAAGCTGCAGTGGCAATTTTAAACAACAACTTAGCAGAGTCACAGCAACATGCATGGACAAAAATGTAGCAAGGCCTTCCCACCAATATTTTCTCAACAATGACTTCACCCTCTATAGAAAGCTTTCTTGATATAGATGCTTTCTGAAAAGCAGGGAGCAAAGGTACCCTCCGCACCTATTCTGGCAAGCCATTCCAAAGGGCTGGGCCCACAACGGACAATGCCCCAGATCTGGTAGTTGCCAAATGAATTCACTGGAGGGGAAGGGCACATTGCTAGGAAGAAGTCATTTGAAGAGCGCTGTTAACACATATGAATGTATCAGGCATTACCAAGAACAACAAGCAGCAAGTGCAAATCACTTGCATTTCTTGCTCCCCCTGCCCTTCTTATTAAACTAACTGCACACAGACTCAGGTGAGGAAATCAGGGACAGGACATCAGTCTGCTATGCTAAGGTTGACGCACCATAGAGATTCCACAACTTTATGGTTAACAGTGCTGGAGATCTTGTGATGCAGAATAACTACACCGGTTGTGTTGCTTGAAACTTATCAGTGCTGAATACCAGACTACAATTATGCCTATGCTTGGGCTCATACATGCCTTGTCAGTCCTTTCCTTGTCCATTTCAGCTGCATCAATGGATCTACCATGTCACAGCCCTCTTGTGTTTGTTCTGCAGGATACACTGGGAATGGAACCTATTGTACAGGTACTTTTTAATGAATGCGTTATGAAATAAGAGCACAGAGTGTATAGAGAAGTGATCTTATGTTGTCTTGCTGCCATTGGTAATTAAAAATCATAATTTTTCTTGGTTTTGAAATGGTTGTAACACACACACACACACGGGGCTGATTTAGACATACATGTTCAACATTTGAAGACTGCAACAGCAAGTAGGGACTTGCATATTTAAATGAGCCATCAGAGTTGTAACACTGCCAATGGAACTTTTATGTCACTGTGTATCATCTCAAACACAATAGTTTTTCAGTGGATTCAGTGGCAATTCATCAAATGTAGCAAATGCAGCAAGTGTGAAACAGCCCTAAGGCATAGTCTAGGATCCTAAACAGCCTGAATAGGTCATGCTGCATAAACAGCAACTTTCCCCCTCCCACTGTAGTCTGTGTCCCCCCCACACACACAACTGTGCCTCTGTGGGTCAATAGGCCCCCAGGAACACCATGGAAGTCAGACTGGAGGGAGCTGAAGCAAGAGGGGGATAAACCAAATTTGTCTACTCTCTTGGGAGATTAGGATTAAAAACATGGTCTGACAACATATCAAATCCCAAGGTGAAAATTAGGCTGATTTGAATGCTGCAGAGCATTAGAAGGATATGTCCCTGAACTAGAGACTTATAGCTTGGTTTAAAATGAAAGTGTACTGGTTTAGGGCATGGGTTGATGATGTCACAGAGTATTGGTATGGGTATGTGACACACTGCACTTTAAAATCTTATAAGTGCCATGTAAACAAGTAAAGGACTGTGAAGGGTTAATTCCTCACAGAACCAGAGAGGCTTGATTGACAGCTGCTCCAAGAGATCTGATTGGTTAGCATCAGTTGAGCAGAGAAAGACTTGACAGCTGAATGCTGAGGAGACAGCAGTCTGAATTCAGCCCTGAGAAGGATTTAGTACTGACAAGGTTTGTGCTTAGCCCTGACTGAGAGCAGTTTAACACAGATGGAGTACTGGGAAAGTTGGCAGGAGGAGTGGGTAGTTAGGTGAAGACTCCCACTCGGACCAGAAAAAGAGATAGATCTTCTAGTGAGAGAAGAATTTCCCTACCTAGTTAAAACAGGGAAATAGCTCTGAAGAGTGGAGAGATCCCTGGTCAGATGTGTTTAGAAACTGCCTTTTAAATCCTGAGGTGTCAGTTAAAACTCAGGAAGAGTATTGGTGTGTTTAGCGAAGGAGTTTGAGTACTGGACAAAGTATCCCTGCCTTCTGGAAACCAAAATAATCAAATATGCTCAAGAAAGTATACTGGCATGTTTGGGAAACACTGAAACAAAAGCCTCTCATTTTAAAGATTCTAAGTCATTGTGAAAAGCTTAAGAAACTCTCAGTTGCTTGAAACATATGAACTGTAGTCTGTGCCTATATTGATTTACCTCAGACATTTTACCCCTGACCTTTCCTCTCTACACTGAATAAAATGTTTTGTTGTGTTTGAACTTTAAAAAGCCTCAAGTACCATTTCAGTGGTTTAAGTTAAAGGGGGATCTTGGCCCTTCCCTCAGGTTCCTGGGCTGAGCCAGCAGCAAAATTTCATAATGTGACAGGGTGGGATAGCCATAATTCTTCAGAAAAGAAGAAAATCGATAAATAGGGCTGGTCAGTCAGAAAGGGAGAGAAAAATGGAGGGGAAATCTTGCCTTTGAGGGAGGAAAGTGGACTAGATTGTCATAAGGTATTATACCGAATGTTCTTTTTTCTGTGGCTTCAGAAACATATGATGAGAGAGATGTTTTCAAAGACCCATTTGATATATGTTTACAAAAATCTTTGCAACAATCATTTATTTATTACTGATATTCTCGAGAAAATCCATTTTGATATAGAAACCAAAATATTGCAGGTACAGAGAGAAATTCATAAAGCACAGAAAAACTGGAAAAGACCAAAATAAACACAGCACAAAACTACTTTGTTGCTTTTCATCATCTCCCAGGTACTTCAAACTGTTGGTGCCAAGCTAATGAAATTATGATGCCAGCTTGATGTGCACCTCTTAAATAGCTCTAATCAGCCTCTTCAGAATCCTCAGTAATAATCTAAATAAACAAAGTAGCTCTATTTTAATCAGGCATACTTATTTTTCTGGCAATAATGTGCAGCTACTCATGAGCCAGGTATTTGAAAGCAACAAGGATAGGTAATTTTTTTTAAGCATGCATTAAATAGAATTTAACATTTTAAATAAAACAAAGTTAAGAATGTAATGGCAATCTCATCAATCACGTTAATGAAGCCAGGGCCAAACTAAACTGTGAAGCCTAAAACCAGCTTTCTCTAATAATGTTCATTTCCAGATGGCTGAACCATAATTTTACACATACAAGAAACAACAAGGATTTAAGCATGGATAGATGACTGCATCCATAAAAGTTATTGACACACCAAGAATACAGATCATCTTCAGTAATTATTGTAATAAGAACCTTAATATGATGGCACCATGATGTTCTTATTACAATAATTATTGAAGATGATCTGTATTCTTGGTGTGTCAGTAATTTTTATGGATGCAGTGGTGCCATCATATTAAGGTACACAATCACACAACAGAACAAAAGTGCCGGCTGTGCTCATTTATCAACATCAACGACACAGCCACTGTCCGCTCCCTCCAGGCTACTTATGCACGCTATTCTGTTAGCATTGTGCATGCAGTATCTTGCCATGATTAAATGGACATGACTCTGACATAAAGGAAAAAAATTACATTAAAAAACATTTCACCTTCGCTGATCATTCCATCAGAGACTTCAGAGTAACCACTCTCAAACAGCTGCGTATTGGTTGATGTATGGAATTTGAGGTGGGAAAAATCAGCAGACCTAACCATTGAGACTAAATTTTCACTTTTTCACATTTTAAGAAGAAATATCAGCTTCCTCTGATACTGGGCTTATTGATAAGCCTTCTTTGAGTGATGATCTTAGTACTCATTGTTATCCAGATCTACTACATGCCTCCTTGTAGGCTCATACAGTATAAATGGCAATGTGCATTAAAAGCACTCCTGACAATGAAAATAGATAGGCCCAATGGCAATTAGGCTAAATAGTGTAGTGCTGTATAAACAAATATCACCTTTGCCATGTGTTCAGCAGCCTATGAAACTTATGTGCCATATCTGAGTGCCATCACATTGGAACCTAACTTCCTTTTCTTTCACAACACAGAAATTGATCTGTGTGCATCAGGTAATGGTGGCTGCTCCATATATGCCAGCTGTACTAAAGTCGCAGCTGGTCAAAGGATCTGTGCTTGTAAAGAAGGCTATGCTGGAGATGGGACCATATGCCGAGGTGAGCAGGTTACATACATAAATCCATCATCATGGGACATCATGGGCTCAGTGTTGATAACATGCACCTCTTCTACCCACAGAGATTGATCTATGCCTAGAAAACCATGGAGGCTGCCATCGGTATGCAGAATGTATTAAAGCAGGTCCTGGTCGGGTCAGTATTCTCTCATTCTCATATCTGGGGTTCACCATTGCTATGGACTCCATTTCACTCTCGTGGAAAGCTCATTCCCAGCCATGTGGTCAAAATTCAAAGACTGGAGCAGAGCAGGCACATGTGTGTGGAGGGAAGGAAAGGAAAGGATGTGTGTTGTGTGTGTGAGTCTAGCAGGGAAATTAATACTGAGAGGGCAATTAAAGAAAGAAGAAATGAATTGGGAGGCAAGAGGCAATTAAAGAAGAACTGATCTTGGTTGGAAATGAACTTTGAGGAAGGAGCTGTGTGGAGAAACTAATGTTAGGAGGGAGGAATCTTAGACGACCTGATTCTGGGTCGGGGTTTCGTGCGTAGCAGAGCAGCTCCCTCGCTGCGATCTATTGAAAGTCAGCCCTCGACACAAGCAAATCATTCATAGGAGGGAGGAATCTGAGTGAGAAAGTAAGTTGGTTGTTTGTTGCACCTGAGCTAGTGGTCATCACTATGCATGAGGACAGAGAACTGTGCATTGTGTGAAGAAGTAGTATGGGCAGACTTGCTTTGCAAAGCTGCCTGAATTTGTTTTTTTTCCTTTTGTTTCTGAAAACTTGGGAAGACTTCAGGAGAGGGAAGCTTAGAGGGACACTTTAGCAGGGCTTTTTTCTGGGGGAACACACCGGAATGGAGTTCCAGAACCTCTTCAACAAAATTCTTTTAAAAAGGTTTTAAAGTTCATGATTTTTCAGTATACAGGTTGAAAACTTCATTTCCCCCTTGAGCATTCCAGCACCTCATTTTCCAAAAAAAGAAAAATTTAAAAAGCCCTGCTTTAGAGTATCACTTACCATGACATTGCGGCAACCGTTTAGTCAACCATGATGATGTTGGTCAAGGGGCAAATATTACTTGGAGTTTTTGCTTTTACAGCTCAGGCTCTTAGTTCATAGTCATAAGCTAGTCACTTAAACATTCTTCCATCTAGAGTAGGGTTGCCAGCTCCGGGGTTGGGAAATATCTAGAGATTTTTGGGGGAGGAGCCTGAGAGGGGTGGGATTTGGGGAGGGGAGGGACTTCAATGGGGTATAATTCCATAGAGTCCACTTTCCAAAACAGCCATTTTCTCCAGGTGAATTGATCTCTTTTGCCCAGAGACCAGTGGTAATAGTGGGAGATCTCCAGCCATCACCTGGAGGTTGACAACCCTAATCTAGACCAGCATTCTGTTACGAAACCTACAAGTAGGGCAGTATTCCTCTTTGTTTATCTCCAGCATCTGTTGTTCACAGGTATACTGCCTCTAAAGATGGACATTCTATTTATTAGTTATTAGGGCTCATTTGAGGGTTTTGTAGAGACAGAACTGGGATAAGGCAGGTAGCCATTGATGGCTTTTTCCTTGATGCTTTTGTCTAATCTCCTTTTTAAAGCTATATGAGCTCGCAGCTGTCACCACATCCCCCAAGGAGTGAGTACCACATGAAAGGCAGAGAGTAGGGTTGCCAAGTCATACCTTATCCTGAAGCTGGGACTCCCGTGTTGATCCTGGAGTGTGCGCATGCGCACTTTGCGTGCGTGCACCGCATCCACGTCACCAGGAAGTGACGTGACCACATCGAGCACGCTGGGGGCAGGGCCACGACCATCCGAGGGAAAACCATAGAGTTTTCCCTCGGATGACCGTGGCCCCGCCCCCAGCGTACCCGGTGTGGTCGCGTCACTTCCTGGTGACGTGCACGTCGGGGTGGAGTCCCCCCCCCGGGCCCAATGCGGCGGCGGGGAATGGGTCTCTGGGGCGGGGGTTTCCCCGCCCCCCCGGGGGAACTTGGCAAGCCTAGCAGAGAGGAAGACAGGGGACAACGACAAGCAAACAAAAGCTGCAAACCAACTTTGGGAGATAGGAATTTGGAGAGCGAGACCTTCTCTCCCAAGCCATTTTCCCAAGCTGAAATAGCCCAGGTGGTAGTGCTGGTTTACACCATTGCAGGTTACATGTGCAGTGATGAGCTCACCAGTACATTTCCTCAGCAGGGCAAATAGCACTTCCTCAGGACTCTTTTGGGTCAGGAAAAAGGTGCAGCGGGGAAGACTTCATCCCCCTCTCCCAGTGTGCTGTGTTCCTGATCCAAATTGGGCCCTCAATTATCTGGAGACTGAATCCCACTCATGGAATTCCCACAGATCACCAATTTAGTGAAGTGTGATTAGGCCTGAATTCAGTTACAGTCCTTGTGGAATAGTTATTTCCTTACTGGATAAACAAAGTAGCACAGTATGAGGGGGGCTGTGCTTATTTGCACTCTGTCCCCCCATATATACCTTGTAGAGGGTAAAAGCTTACATAACAGCAGTAGTAGGCAGAGCAGGAGGGCACCGTCTTGAGGAAGGTCCCACAGCTTTTATTTTCAAGAAGCACAATGTACAACTTCTCTTGTCTGTCCCTGTGTTTTCAGTTTTGAATATGAATTGCTGCTCTTTTCTCTCCTCACCCAGGTTGCTTGTAACTGTCTTCCCAACTACCGTGGGGATGGTGTTAAAGAATGTAAATTCATCGATCCTTGCTATAAGGTTCGTCTGTACTAAGCTAGAGCACTATACAAATTATTGCCAAGGAGATAACGGATCGTCCCTAACGTTTTAGAACTAGTATATTTATTTTCTTGACAGTCCTGAAATGCTTTTTCTTTCCTCAATGTATATATTATTATTATTTTTAAAAGCATATTATAGGTGTTGTGAAATTGTGTTACAGGGCTTTCTGTGGGCTTTCAGGATAGCTTTCATGTTATGCCTTTCAAGATGTAGCTGGATTCTTGGTATCAGTTCTCATACAAAATGGAGATCAACCTTCACTGCAAAAAAGGAAATATAAAATGCACATATAGAGAAGAATCCCTTAAAACACTGGTTATCAGCCTTTCTGTATTTAGGGAATCCTTCCCACACAGCATTTCTCACAGTGAATTATATTTACCTATGGTATTTTTGACAAGAGGACAGGCTTGTATGCAATGCTCCCTCTAAGCTGTGCAGTCTTATGAGCAAAAATTCTACTTTGTGAGCTACTGGCATTAAAGTTGCGAGCAAGCGATTTGGCTGCTACATAAATTAGTTTGCTATGGAGCCATTCTTCCTGAGCTAAGACTAAAATGTGTGAGCCAGAGGCTAAAAAACTGTGAGCTAGCCCACACTAACGCAGCTTAGAAGGAACACTGCTTGTATGGTTTCCCTGTTACTGCTGTGCCTGTCAATACAGCACACTGGATCATAGGGCTTCCACATGGAAGGTATTTCTGCATTTTCCCCACCCCAGTTCCCTGCAGTGGCTATACCCTGCCCCCTGGACAACCAGGTGCTCTTCAGGGTTTAGTTTAGTATTATTACAGTCCTAAGACCAACATACAGAGTACTTTTCAGGGTTTAAAAAAATCAGTAACTGATGGATCATTAGATTGTTATAATGCTATATCTACCAGTTTCTCTGATTTCCCTGCTTTCATTTTTTTTTTTTAAAGTGAGCTCCTTTTTGTTGTAGATATATGACTTTCCCCTTATCGCTTTGCCACAATGAGGGCTAAATGCTTACCTTTATTTTAAAATGAAAGCAGGGAACTCAGAGGAATTAGTAGATATATCTACCAGGAGCTGCAGTGGCTCAAGTGGTTAAGATGCTGAACTGCAGGCTGTGGAAGGTCGGTAGTTCAGCAGTTTGAGACCCAAGTGCCGCATGACGGAGTGAGCTCCCGTCTCTAGTCCCAGCTCCTGCCAACCTAGCAGTTTGAAAGAAATTGCAAGTAGATAAATAGGTACCACTTTGGTGGGAAGGTAACAGCGTTCCGTGCGCCTTGGTGGTTAGTCATGCCGGCCACATGACCACAGAAATGTCTTCGGACAGCGCTGGCTCTTCGGCTTTGAAACGGAGATGAGCACCGCAACCCTAGAGTTGGATTCGACTGGCTTTCGAGCAAGGGAACCTTTACCTTTACCAATATATAACAATACAACAACTGTCAATTTGAAAGAAGAACCTTCTCTGTTAATGAGAGGAAATTGCCACCATGGGGGCTGTGGCAGAAAAATGGTGCTGATGTGGGAGAGACTGGGTAGAGCAGAACTTTCCCATCTACATGTGTGCCATTCAAGCTTTGCTGTAACCTTTCACAAAACACTGCAGCAAAGCAGGTTTGGGAAAGTTTGCATAAAAGATGGGAAAAACCTACGAGGTACTTAAAGACACCACAATGCTGCTTTGAATAGCAAAAAATAATTCAAAAATAGGGCTGGATCCTGATAATTTCTGTGTTACTATAGGGAAGCAATTTTACTGATCCCCCCCCCCCAGGGATCCTAAGTCCCCCCGGGGGGCAGAGGCCCATTCCTGGCCGCGCCGGATCGGGCCCTGGGGGGAACTCCACCCCGACGTGCGCGTCACCCGGAAGTGACGCGGGCTAGGGAAAACTCTATGGTTTTCCCTTGTATGGCTGTGGCCCCGCCCCCAGCATGCCTGGCGTCCTCCCGTCACTTCCGGGTGACGTGCGTCCCGGCCGGGAGCCCCCCGCTCCCGGCGAAGATACACTTGCCAACCCTACCCCCACCCGATGCAAGACTAATGCAGACTTCCAGTTTGCTTGCCATGGCTCAGTCACCAGCATCTTTGAGTAGCTGGTGATTTAAAAAATCTTGTCCTGTGACCCAATGGGGACAGTATTATGAAGTGCTGCAGAGGCACGATTCATATTGGGATTTTAGTGTAGGGGAGGAGAGGCTTTAGCCTCCCCCCCCCTAATGCTGTTTTCCTGCCCTGGGAGCTTCTGCTTGCCCTGTTGGGGGGGCTGTATGGGCACTGTGGGGGACTGCAAGTCTTCATCAACAGTGCAACCAGATAGCTGAAGATAGATGCTACAAAAGTATGTGTGTCAACCCGACATTACATCTTGTTGCTTCAAACCAGGATCTGTACCTTTTGCAACAGAACAGGAAGCTGAGATGGAGTTTTAAAACACTCTAGTAAGTAGGTATTATTGATCCTGTGATATCTGCAGACTGGGTATTTTAACATACCTTTATTATTTATTTATTTATTTATTTCATTTATACCCCGCCCTCCCTGCACTCGGGCTCAGGGCGGCTTACACAGTATTACAATGTCCTTAGCTTTGTTTAAAAGAAATGCTAAACTAACTAGAATTGGAAAAGCAGAATGTAACCTCCTCATATTGCATCGTTTGTTTTGGCTCATTATATAACTGCTTCCTGTGCCACAACCAGCCTTTAGAATACCATGCAAATAAAATACTGTACAATAGCGACAACCCAACTGCTTTCTTGAAATAAAACTAGAAACCCACATACACTGAGATGACCATCATCACTTCAACAGCCAGGAGGGAAAAAAACTTTTAAAAAGTTGCTACCTCAGATTTGGGCCTTTGGTCAGGAAATAGTAAATTTCACATTTTTCAAGCATTTTAAAAAAATCTAGGCAGTAGTTCACCGTGTCAGCTAACTCACATGTTCTTGGTCTTTTCCTGCTAGAACAAAGAAGGCTGCAGTCAACAGGGTTTATGTTATAAGAACGCTATTGGGAATGAAATATGCATCTGTGTGCTGGGTACTGGAGGTGCATCTTCATGCACACAAACAGCATGGAAGGTAAAGGACATTGTACTGGGATTATCAGAATTTCTTTTCATTTCTTTGACAACAGTTTAACAACCGATACGTATAAATTTCCTGTTAACATCTGTCACGGCTCAGGTGGGGTGTCACCTGACGCTGCCACCACTCTGGTTCCAGGCTCCCTTGAGAAGGCCCAGAGCACCCTCCCAAGACCGTCAGACCTCCCTTTTGGCTGACTAATAGGCATAAGGACCAGGCAGAGTACAACAAGGAAAATAGTTTATTTCATAGGAGGTCAAACAACAAGGTGCAGAATAACAGTAAGAGGGTGAAAAGAAAAGAAATCAAATGCCCTAACGCGTCTAAATATATACTGCCCCTAGCTCACTATTCCAAGTGACACTAGACTACTCACCCTGCCCTCAGGATGTAGGTCTCTCACCTGCAGCAGCCTTCCTTCTGGCTCTGCCCTCTTGGAAGAAAGAACAGCTTGTGCTCTGGCACCAGCCCATTTGTTCACCAGCCCTCTTCTTCCCTATTGGTCAATTTTGGCTCCAAAACCTCCCAGGGCTTCTGGGAGTTGTAGGCCCAGCCTCACCTACTGCTAGCCAGGCTCCCTGGGCCTAGTAGGCCTCCGGTGGCACAGCCCAGATCATGACAACATCAAACAAGCAGTAAGAAGATTAGCCAAAGGAAGTAAGACATTTGGATAAAAGAAATAAATATGTACTTTTAATCTGGATACATCAGTTATACATTCATCTGAAGAAAAGTAAGAGGGAGGTGCTGTGGTTCCTGGGCCACTGGGAGTTCTGTGTTGAAATGCTGATAGCACCCGGAATAGATAAGGTTGCCAACCTCCTGGTGGGATCTGGAGATCTGCTATTATAACTGCTCTCCAGACAATAGAGATCAATTCTCCTGGAGAAAATGGCTGCTGTGGAGGGTGGGCTCCGTGGCATTGTACCCTGCTGAGGCCCCTCCCCTTGCCAAACCCCACCCTCCCCAGGCTCCACTCCCACAATCTCCTGGTATTTTCCCAACCCAGAGGTGGCAAACCCAAAAATAGTTCAAAATTTTCTGTTGTGAAAAACTGATCAGTCTGACTTCTACATGTCTTTGGGGCGATACTGAAATTGACTTGTTATTGAGAACACAGTAAATGGGAGGAAAGACCACAGCACTGGATATTTCTAGGCTGAGAATTTATGGCTTACACTGTGGGACCTCTAGTTTTTCACATTACAATTTGATAATGGGAGTGTAAACCATCACTAGGGGGTGAAATTACAGTGTTGAAAATATTAATGTACAGGGGGGAAAAACACTATCTAAAAGATTATGTGACCCGCCCTGAGCCCGCTCATGGGATGGGCGGGATACAAATATGAAAATAAATAAATAAGTCTCATGATCAGCACAAATAGGAGCAGAGAGCTATTAGAATAGAGAGGATAGATTGTCAGATCTGGATTGAGTCGTCAGGTACTTGTGTCGCTCCGGCAGGGGGATTTGGGGGACATTCCAGGGGTGGGTGAGGATGGCTCCAAGGCCCACCCCCTAGCCCCACCCCCAAGAGCGACCACTCAGGGCCACCCCTCCCCCTCACCTCCTGCAAGATTTAAAGGGCTTCAGCTGATTGGCATGGAGCATGTGGCCTGCCAATCAGCGGTGTTTGCAGCCAGTCCTGCACACTGCCGCCCCATTCACAGCGAGTGGGGTGGTGGTGTGACCACCTGAGTCCCAAGCAGCAAATTGCCGCTGGGAAATCAGCCCTGCATGCCGTGGCCCCAACCCCATGCGCAAAAAATCTTTTTGCAAGCAGAGCATGCGGTCAGTGACGGCCCCTCTCCCTCCCTCCTGAAAAATTTAAAGTGTTCTCCAGCTGATCAGCAGGCCATGTACTCCCTACCAATCAGCTGAAGCTCTTTAAATCTCGCAGGAGGGGAGGGAGGGGGTGGCCCCGTGTGGTCATTCTTGGGGTGGGGCTTCTCCCTGCCAGTCAGCTAGGACCTGACTGAGGGCTGGCAACCTTGGATCTGGATTTGGGAGACCTGGCTTTAAATCCTTGCTCAGCCAGTGTATTCTCTGGGTCACCTTGGGGCAGCCACACTCTCTTTATTTAATAAAATGGGGATGGGAGGAGGAACTGTAGATTATCACCTTGATTGAGGTGCTTGGAAAAAGAAGTAGATACAAATGTGATAAAGAACCTCAGAATTATCTCTCTGTGTGTGTACAACAATGGATAGCATTAATAATACTTATTACTGCTATTCTATCTGTATTATAGTATTATTATTATTATAACAGTATAAATAATATTGTTATATTATTGTAATACAATGATCTTTATATTAGCCATAATGGTCCTTAGCTTTACTGGAAATAGGATGGTTATTTTTGTAACAGGGAGAAGGGCTGCTATGAAACGTTGGTGTTTCTTTTGATATTTATACATTGAAACCTAAACAAATAATTAGTAGAAATAACAAAGCTATGTCCCATTAGCTTTATTATTTCTATTAACCATAAATTATCCCTTCAGTATGAATAATCTCTGTATTGTCATGACAGACAATAGATCAGTATTATCCTATATTGCACATAGGGGAGACAGGCTGAGAAAGTACGGAGCCAAGGCCACCTAGCAAGTTGATAGTCAAGTGAAGACTCGAACTGCCAGAGACTTCTAGGTTCAAAGTCTGAGTTTCTTGCTGCACAATCCTAAGCAGAGCCACACCCTTCCAATGGGTGCAGTGGGTTTAGGAGGGCACAACTCTGACCCAGTTCAGACTGGCAGTTTGCCCCGATATACATGCGTTTCAGAAACGTTCCACAACCAGATTAAATGGGCCGTTCACACAGGCACATCTGTCAGGCGTTCCCCACCTGTACTCAACCCGTCTTCTAACACTTCGCGCCCGAGTTTAAAAGATACCTGGTGAAAGTAGTAGCAAACCCTGGAAAGCGCAGTTATCCTGCGTCCATCCCACACCAACAAAGTGTGAACGACAAAAGCCGCATATCTCCGGATTACAAAACAGAAAGCCGCTCCTTACAGCCGTGCCTCCGGGCCAACAGTGTGAACGCTCCCTTGCGCCTCCTCCCGGTATGCTCCTGCATCAGTCGCTGCAGTGTGAATGGGAAAACCCGGAACAGTTTGTTCCGGCTCTTTTTTGCCACAACTCCCTCCCGCTTCAAACAGCCAGTCTAAACTCAGCCTCTGTTTAGGATGACACTGTTAGCTACTATCTTTAAGTGAGAGTGAGATTGCTGATGCTAGCGTTAACTGCTAGTGTTCTCTTTAAGTAGATCAGAATAATGTGCTGAGAAAACATGCTTTTAGTCCTCCTGTCTCAAATGAAGCAGCAGAAATGATAGATCAAATTGTTCACAGTGTTGCTTGGAATACCTTCCTGTCACTGTTTTGCAGTGTGCTTATGCTTGGCACAGGAGCAAATGTCATAGGTCAGATACACACTGCACTCACGAGAGCCTAGCTGGGGAGGCAGTCTAAAGTTGAGCTTCATCCTACTGGACTGCCAGAACTGTGGAATGGCCGAGAGAATCCAGCTAGATGGATAGGCCTGAATGGTCTTTCTTCACTGAGATCATGGTCCTAAGGGATTTTAAGCAGAGACTCACCATTATTTTGTTTTGAGTTCTTTTTTTAGGAGGAGTTTGTTGCAAGAGAGGCTGTATCCCAGTTCTTTCAGTATGCAAAGGTAGGTATAACATTTACCACTATAAAAGGGACAGTATTTTACTTTAGAAGCTTCAATCCCACTTTGTTTGTTTTAATCTCTGGCTGTGTCTCCCTCATCTAGGCTTATAAAATGATCAACCTGTTAAGAGGTGGACAGTACACTTTTTTCGTGCCACTTGTCGATTTCATGAGGAACAATGCCACAGTAAGCGATACCTTGAGATTCCATTAATCAAAAACCTAACTCTGCCAGTCATTCAGAACAGTTCCGTTCTCTGAGTGGGAATGTTTTTTTTGAATTCTGTGTAACAGAAACAGGCGCAAATCCTCCAATAGTGCCTCACTTCAGATAAAAATGAACTCACCTAATGCTGCTTTTGAGGATAAATCTCTGCCCAATGGCCTGTAGATCACTGATGATGTGTTGGACAAGTTTGAACTGGGATCCCTAAGGGATAACCAGTGGTATTCTGTCGCTATCCTTTGGGGGCCTATAGGCATATGTAGTAAGGTACTTCTGGCTACTAGGCAGGCCTTCTTCATTTCATTGGGTGGGTACTGTAATCCCAAGAATGTGCCATTTAAATCCTTCATGTTTAAATCTCTACTGAAGTCATTGGAGCAAAAGTAATCATAATATAGTACCTGGACTGCAGAACTTTGGATTATATCATATACTTGTATGTGGTAGCTGAAAGTTTATTGATATTTTGGGTTGTCAGTATTAAATGGTACTTACATGTCCGTCATGTAGTTGCACAGTGGTGTTCAGAAAATGGACCAGTTCACAGAATAGGCTTTGGTTGTTGGTGAGGTGAAAGTTGCTGAACTTCTGGAGAGTTTCCTTCCCATGGATCCAGCCATGGAAAACATCATTGATAAAAATACAGGAGAGATGATAGTGGGTAGGAGCTGACGAAACTGTGCTCTAAGTCAGCCATGAATATATTTACATACTATACAATTGTCACCAAATCGGAAGTAATTATAGGTGAAGTCAGTGGCAAAACTTGATTACAATAGTTTCTTTGGGAAATCAGAAGTGTCTTACAAATATCTGTGGGTGCTGATGGCTTGAGGATGTCGTCTATACAGCCAGATAACTCTACTGTGATTGTGCCAGCATCTGGAATAATGGGGTGTCCCAGGCTGTGCATTTTGGGTAGGAGTTAGAAGGTCCCTGGCCAAGGCTCCATGGGTGTGTCCATACAGAGCTGTTCCTGTACATATATGGGTCATTCATTCATTCATTCATTCATTTACTTCTTGCTGGTATTCATCAGAGGGGTCTGAGGATAAAGGCGGGTGAATTGTGGTGGGTAGCTGATCCGTTCCTTTAATGTGAATTAAATTTCAGTGAATGAAATTTCAGTTCAGGTAGCATTATCTCATGCTTCTGACTTTCTGTAAGAGCTTTGGAAGATACCAAACTGCCCTCTGACTTGTGCAACCATCTTTTCTGTAGCTTTCAGAATGGAAAGAGGGCCACATCAAAGATGACCTTCTCTATCATATAGCTATCTGCCAGCGCTTACAGTCAAAAGATTTGGAATTGCTTGATTCCATCACAACTCTATCTGGACGCAAAATACGAATTTCCATGAAAGAGGTATGTGCCATTGTCGATTGTTTCCATGTCCATGTCACTCAGTGCATGTTTTTGCATAAGTGTCCCATTCTGCACCTTCTTTGTTCCACTCACACACTAGATTTTTCCAGTGATGACTAGACTCAAATTTCTATAGCAGCCTCTACCTGAATAGATTAACATGATGGTAACTAAAGAACAAACTAAAGCTCTGTAGTGGTGATTACGTCTGAGAAACAAGGGGAGCAACATCCCCTTTATGGAAGTAGTGGCACCAGCCCCCAATCCAGCTTCAGTATCTTGATAATTATACCAACGGAGTGAAGAAGAAATGAGAAACTTTGTCACAGGGAAAAACTTGTTGGTACAGTTAAGAACACCCGAGATCAAAACTGTATTTCCACAATTCCACAAGCACACCATGCCAGAAGGATTGAAAGTTTTATTAGAACAAAAGCAGGGCCTTTCCTAGCCTCTGCTTGAGCAGAAACAAACAGACAACAACCAGAAGAAGAAGTGAAACCAAACTACAGCACAGGCTTTTTGGCCCTAAGGGTTCAGGGGAAAATAACTAGACACAACTGGCCACAATATAACAAAAACTAAATTTTCCACTAACAGAGGAGGGTGATTTTGCCCATTTCCCCCTCCTGAAGACCGTCGATTCATCCCTTATGCTGCTCCTGAGGTTCCATCAACATGTTACAAAATCTTCATGTATGCTGGGGAACAACACAAGGACCTTGTGTCATGCATAGTTCTGGCACAGCTGTTCTAGAAAAAAAGAGCAGTTTCTGTCAGAGCTCTCTCAGCCCCACCTACCTCGCAAGGTGTCTGTTGTGGGGAGGGGAAGGGAAAGGAGTTTGTAAGCTGCTGTGAGGCTCCCTTGGGTAGTGAAGGGTGGGGTATAAATCCAATCTCTTCTTCTTCCCCAAGCAACATGAGGACTTTGTAATGTGGATTCAGGTGGGGTATCCGTATTGCTCTGAGGCAGCAGAACAAAGCTGGAGTCCAGTGACACCTTTAAGACCAACAAAGTTTTATTCACGGTGTAAGCTTTTGTGTGTAAGCACACTTCCTCAGATACATTGGAACAGAACCTCCTCAACCATTACTTATAGGGGGTTGACAACAACCCCCAACCTATCCCCTATAAGTAATGGTTGAGGAGGCTCTGTTCCACTGTATCTGAGGGAAGTGTGCTTGCACACAAAAGCTTATACTGTGAATAAAACTTTGTTGGTCTTAAAGGTGCCACTGGAGTCAGGCTTTGTAATGTGTAAATGTGAGAGTCCCCGGTTGCAGGCACAGGAGTATGTGTGCAGTATGTTACCCATCACTAGTACTGTTGTGAGTAATAGCCAATTGGTGCTTGTGACAACCAGATGCTAGTCACCTAGGAGGTAGTTCTGGCTTTTTCCAGGTACTACTAAATACACAAGAAACCTCTGTAAAACTTTGTTTGCAGACACCATGGTGGGCTTGGGAAAAAATAGCAAGGTGTTTTTTTGTATACCATGGGCAGTGACAAATCTACAATATCGTCTTCAGGTCTGTGAAAAATTATTGCCTACGCACAGATTAACTAGTGTGGAAACAGCAGCTGAGGTATAACCTGGAGGGAAAACACCTATTCTATTGCAAGCAAAGAGATCTAGGCAGTACCTTGAATCTTCACAAGAAGAATTGTCTGTACACAGTCAAAAATACCCACCAAGACAAAGCTACAGTGCACTGTTTCACTCCTGTGATTTTTTCGTTTTTTTTAAAGCGGTGTTCACTCAAGAACTACTACATTTAATCCAAAGGAGCCACAAAAGTATTTTGCACATATATGCCAATTATAACGTACCATCGTGCTTTTTGGAAGGTGTCTTTCATCGGGAATATCTTTTATGTCCTTTCTTTCCCAGAACAGTGTATATTTAAATGAGGCGGCAAAAATAATTGACAGTGACTTTCTTGGACCAAATGGTAATATACATTTCATTGATCAGATTTTAATCCCAAATGATACGCAGAATCATGGCATTTCATCCCGTCTATCAGAGGTATGTCTAAAATAACGAATATTTTAAACAAGTCATTAATGTTAAAAAATAAAACCCAGAACTGTTTCAGTACAAAAATACACAGATATTGAGAATGGTAGCCCAGACTAACCTGATCTCATCAGATCTCGGAAACTGAAGAAGGTCAGCCCTGGCTAGTATTTGGATGGGAGACCAACCAAGGAATACCAGGGTCGTGGTCCAGAGGCAAGCAATGGCAAACTACCTCTGAACGTCTCTTGCCTTGAGAACCCCATGGGGGTCGCCATATGTCAAATGTGACTTGGCAGCACTTTCCACCACCATTGACACTGACACAATTGCGGATGGTCCAAATGAATCAATATCCAGATTTTAACATGTTTTCATAATGCCTACAAAATGCCACCAGCTTAGTGAGAACAATTCTAAGTGTTTCTTGTCATTGATTTGTTGAATTTGCTCAGTAAGTTTAGCTATCTCGGCTTGATCATTTTGACATGGAAGGTAAACAAGACTGACACCAAGACATGGCAGCTAAAATTCTGTCAGCCTTCTGCTGGTTCTAGACCAATTGAAAATATTCAATACTGCTATTAATATTAATGCTACTGAAGTACTTGATGGGCCCTAGACATATATAAGCTTCTGACCCCAGGTATGATCCTCCCAATACACATAATCACCATTTTTTCTAGAGGGGGCAATGCTTGTACATTCTAGCATCAGAACCCTGATTTTCCAGGTTTTTGGTACACATATTGAGGCTGGAAATCTGTATGGTCCCCCTTTTGAACAAAATGTACCCAAAGTATCGCATGTAGCACGCTCTCCCAGTATGCGCAGTCAAACCTTTTGCCGTAAAAAGGCTTGCATGTGTGACCGAATAGGTAAAATGTCTTTGTGAGAATTGATTATTAGCTGAAGTTTGGTCACCTCTGTTGTGATGGTAGTGATTATTGTGAGCGTGGTAATGGTAGTGGATGTAACCAAGACTTCTTGCATGGGGAAGATTGTGCACCATTTTGGGACATCTGCTTAGTGAAACAGGAATTTACTTTTTAATGTCACTATTTTATGTTTTCCAGAAGTCCATCACAGAAGTTGCAGAGGCTTACGGATACAAAATCTATAGCAAACTTTTAGTGGTAAATTAACTAATTTCTTGTGCTGCAATGTTTATAATGAAAAGTCGCTTCTTAGTTACAGTACAAAAGATGCAGTTTCTTTCAGATGCCATTCAGAATATTACAGGTTTCAGAGCCGGGGTTTGAGGGGGATTGAGAATTCAGTTCTGGATTCTACGAATGGAGTCCGTTTGTCTCTAGCAGAAAATGTTTTATATAAAACATTCGGAAAAACTGGGGTACATTCAGTGGCTTACTAGCTTTGCAGAGGCTTCGTAGCTGCCCTTGCATTAAAACTGGTAGGTATGGTTGCCAATTCTGACTTGGGAAATTCCTGGAGATTTGGGGGTGGTGCCTGGGAAAGGTGGCATCTGGGAGCTCTGCAGGGATGTAAACCCATAGTGTCTACCCACTGAAGCTACCGGGGAACCGAAATATGCAAATATAAATTTTATAAAGTGAATGAATATTTAAAGTGTAACATACAATTTACTTATAACAAACAAGAGAATCCTCATTATTATGTGCATTAACGAAGCTGTCGACTTTTCGCTTCGTTTCGTTCCAGGCTTCCTCAGAAGTAGATTCTCATCAATACACTACTTACTGTGTGACGTTTCTTTTATCCTTCAATATACACTCTAGTTTTTCAATATATTCCATCTAGGTAACAGCAACCTACATATCCGGCTCCAATCTGATTCTGCTTACGCTATTCAATGTTGTTAGTGTATTGATAAAAATCTTCTTCTGAGGAAGCCTGGAACAAAACGAAGAGAAAAGTCGACAGCTTCGTTAATGCACATAATAATGAGGACTCTCTTGTTTGTTAAAAGTAAATTGTATGTTACACTTTAAATATTCATTCACTTTATAAAATTTATATTTGCATATTTCGGTTCCCCGGTTGATTCTGTAACTCTGATACTTTACTACTGGGAGGTCTCTTTTGTATTACCCACTGAAGCTGCCATTTCCTGCAAGGAGACTGATCTCTGTAGTCAGTTATAATTTTGGGAGAAATCCAGGCCCCACCTGGAGGTTGGTAATCTTGGCTAAAGATTAAGCTGGTGCCCCCTCCTCTCTGCTTACCTTTTCTTGAGTGAAGCAACTGGAGACACTGGCAATGTGTGTGTGTTTTTTGTCCGTGTGTGTGTGGGGGGGTATGTGCCCTGTGCCTGTCCTAGTTGGCTGATGGAAGAAGATGATGCCATGCCACCATCTGTGGTTCTTATTTTATGAGGCACGGTGTCCTCAGCCACCACTGCACTCTGTGGCCCAGCAGGGCCTTGTGGTTACCTTACTTGCAGGTAGAAGGTACCAGCACTGATCTGGATGGCCCAGGCTGTCCCAATCTCATCAGATCTCAGAAGCTAAGCAGGGTCAGCCCTGGTTAGTATTTGGATGGCAGAGAGGGTTGCCAACTTCCAGGTGGCAGCTGGAGATCTCCCACTATTACAATTTATCTCCAGATGACCAAGATCAGTTCCCCTGGAGAAAACGGCTGCTTTGGAAGGTTGACTGTATAGCATTATAACCCCAGCAAAGTCCCTTCCCTCCCCAAACCCCACCCTGCCCAGGCTCCACCTCCAACATCTTCAGGAATTTCCCAACCCAGAACAGGCAACTCTAATGGCAGACCACAAAGGAGGTCCAGGGTCACTACATAGAGGCAGGCAATGGCAAACCACCTCTGAACATCTCTGGCCTTGAAAACTCTATGGGACAGCAATTTCCACCACCTCTGGAAGGTGCCAAGAAAAATGACACCCTTATAAAGGGTGATAAACAAAGACACCCAGGAAATCTGTCCTGAGTGAGTGCTGATGAGATTGAAATCAAAATATTGATAGCCTGAAGTTGGTGGTATTTGTTGGCAAGTCAGTGAGCCTTCTTCTTTGCCCCCCCCCCGAACTCACTGTCAACTCAACGTATTTCCTGTCTCAAATGTCCTACTTCTGTGGCACCTCACCCACTGGGCCCCCAGTTTTTGAGCTCAGCAGCAGCAGTGGGGTCACATATACCTCCTCCTGTACTGCCTGTGCATGTTCCAGAGCAGGATGCAGAGGTGCTCTGTCACCTGGCTTAGAGCCTGGTAGTGGCAGGAGTGTGTTAGGTGGGAGTGTCTCCTCCTGTGCTGCCTTAACTGTCTCCCGACAGCCATGGCACAGATCTGGGGGGAGGCAGTGCTGCTCCCATTGCCATTTCAACTCCATGAGTATTCACTTGGCTCACTTGGGCATTGAACTGCCTTTGTACAAACTACGCTTGTGGACATCAAAAGAACACCACTGATGAGTAGCTGCCAATTTCAGCCCATCAATAGCTTGCCATTAATACACAATTTCAATATAACTGGGACTCTGGGAGCTATCATCATGGATTATTAGAGACAATTTGCTAGGCACAGACCTGAAGTTTATGAATGCTCCTACACATTCCTTTTGCATTGTGTTGCATTGAACAATGAACCCTTGTTTCCACCTCCAAGCAGAATAACTGTATAGGGTGTTATAAGATGTTTGCAGGGGGGCGGGGCATTTCTTTTCACGTCGTGACATGTGAGAATTTGTAGGATTACAGATTTATTCATTGTTACCAAATTTCTACAGCCATTGTATGCCATATACAATAAAACAAAAATCAGTTTCCAATAAAATTATAGCAACAGTTGACACAACACATCTACAGTGAAAATGCACTCAACAAAAAGGGCAGTTATGAAATTATCGATAAGAAATTCTCCCCTATCCCGTCAAAAGCTCCTTTTAAAAGACCTGTGTGAAGTCTGATCTCTTGTACTTGATTGGGACCTTTTTAAAAGAAAAAGAAAAAAAAAAGACAGATTGGGGGGGGACAGATAGTGTGTGGCTAAGTTCCTTGAAGGGCTTTCGTTTGTTTGTTTGTTTCAGATGCTGGTTATACAGAGATGATTTAATGCCACATGTACTCTTATAGCATATTACATTCCCACTGTTCTGTCTCTCTGTGCAGGACACAGGACTTCTTCCTTTAATTAATGAAATGATTCACCACCCCTTCACCATGTTCTGGCCTACTGATGCGGCATTTAACTCTCTTCCCGAGGATGGGCAGAAGTGGCTGTATCATAAAGAACACCGAAGCAAACTGGCTGCTTATCTCAAAGAACTCATGATCAGAAACCTGCGGGTAAGCTGAGCGACGGAACAAAATATAAGCCTCCTTTCTAAAGTGCTCTTGCAGTGGTCCAAGACAACACATTTCTCCCTATTGATTGATTTGCTTACGTAATTTATATCCCACCTTTCTGTAACAATGGAAACCCAAAGCAACGTCTAATGATGATGCCGTGCATGGACGTGGATAAGCACAGTGCTGTTGGAAACTGAACTTGGGGGAAAAAAGTCTGTATCCCATGTCTGGCTGTATTTGATTGACTAGAGCACTTAGGCAGCCATCCTAAGAAAATTTTCCTGGGAATAAGCCCCATTGAATAAAATGGGACTTACTTCTGAGAGGTCTGCTTAGTATTACTCCCTCAAGCAGTTATGCTTTAGTTGGGTAACTGGTGAAGGAAAATGTTAATCAATAGTGCAGCATAATAAGGATATTCTAGCTTTATTCTAAGGCTTCAGTGTACTGCTGTAATTACAGAATCAGAAAATGTTAAATATAATTTCTCTAACGAGGGATAGCTTTTCCTTATTAAATTAGAGATCATTTTATACTTCTGTATCTGAGAAGGGCATCTGTACTGACGTGTGGATAATATGGGATCTTAGATAATTACATTCTAAGATAATTCCAAACTTCTTGGACAAATAACTGTTAAGAGGGAAAGTTGACACCAGTTTGTTAACCATTTATTAACCAAAACAGGGACTGAGTTCATGGGAAAATAAACTAAAGCAGTTTGGTTTTTCTTCTTATGTGACCATTTCTTAAAAGGTAAGGTGCAAGTATAAATTCGTAGTCTGTGCCACTTACTTGTGCATGTTTCTAGGTCTTTCCTTCCATGATGTCACAGCCTGGATTATTTTTAACAACTATGCATGGATCAACCATCTCATTTAGCTGCAGCAGAAAGAGTCCTGTAAGTATGAGCCTTTAAATTCCAAATTGATGTACTCTACAAGGCTTTCTAAACAGGATGAAGACAAAAGCCTATGTTTATAACCTGAAATCCCCCCCACACACACACACATACTTTTAAACCAGTTCTGGAGAACATAAATGCATGCTTACCATTTTGGTTGGCCCATGCAATATATTACATTACTTTTGTTTTTCGATTTTTCCTTGAACCAGTGTGGCTACCCAGAACCTCTTTAAACTAAATGTGTGCAAAGCTGTTTAGTTATTGTCCTGTTTCAGCTAGGATTGCTAATAGGCCTGGAGAAAAATATCCTGTATCTATAATAGAAAGTGGAAATGGAAAGTTGAAACATTTCATTTAATGGAGGTAAGTAACATCAACTGGTAAATAACATCCCATTAAGCCTCTACTAAAGAGACAGGACAACTGCAAAACACAACTTGTATTGTGAATTGAGATTGTTGTACCTATCCAGCATGTCTTGTTATGATGTTGTCCTTGCCTTGGCAGAAGAGGACAATCTTCAGCTACAGTGCATGAGAAAACACAGGAGGAACTTTAGAGGAGGGAGACAGAAGAGAAGTTGACTGAGAGCCAAAATACATGGTACATCTGAGCTGAGTCCGGACATGGGTGCCCAACCCAAACTGTTGTCACACGAAGAATAAGTGTAATTCTCCTTAAAACGGTTGATGTCACTTGATGTTGATGGACTTGATGTCACATGTAGAATCGGTGTAACTCATCTAGAAAGTGTTGTGGTGCTCTGTGTGGGTCAACAGGCTGCAAGGGGGGAGGAGGGGCTTCAGGCTTCCCTCCTATAAGAGCCAGTTTGGTGTAGTAGTTAAGAGCGAGGACTCTAATCTGGGAGAACTGGGTTTGATTCCCCACTCCTCCACATGCAGCTGCTGGTGTGACCTTGGGTCAGTCACAAATTCTTTCAGAGCTGTTCTCTCAGGAGCAGTTCTCTCAGAGCTCTCTCAGCCCCACCTACCTCACAGGGTGTCTGTTGTGGGGAGAGGAAGGGAAGGCGATTGTAAGCCAGTCTGGGACTCCTTCAGGTAGTGAAGGGTGGGATATAAATCCAATCTCCTCCTCCTCCTCCTCTGCTGTTTTTGCCAGTGGAAACGGCCTGGGGAAAATATTTGCCCCCTTTCTGGCCCCTGTGGCTATTTCCACTGGTGAAAATGATGCAAGAGGGAAGCCCCTCCCCTCTTTGGAGCCACACAACATTTTCTAGATGAGTTACACTGATTCTACATGTATCATCAAGTCAGGTTGGGCACCTGTGTCCCAACTCATGTCATATGTATTATGTATTTTGGCCTTGTGAGACTGGGTGACTAGAGGAACAATGGTCAAGGAAGCTAAAAAAATGGGTACCAAAGAAAGCAATAAATGGTGAGGATGTGAAGAAAGGAAAAGCCAGTGATTTAAAATTAATGCATCACATAGGGCCAAACTAGATGGGATGATGTCCTCACAGCTGCTATGAGTACACCACCAACATTTAAAAGTCATTTAAAAATGCTATGAGCTCCCCTGGCACTCGTGTCCCCCCCCCTCACCTTTTCAAATGTTGAAGTAGCTGCAGGGGCCCCCTCACAGCTGTTTCTACACTTGAAAAGACAAACAAGAGTGCCATGCTACAGGCCCAAAACAATAGCACTGTGCTGGAGACCCGATCAGGGTCGGGCCCTTGTGGCATTTCAAAATGACTTTAAAATGGTGGTAGCCACAAGGGTACTGTCGCATCTAGTATGGACTTCACCCTGAAACGAAAGTGGTTTATAAAAAGCAATCAATAAAACAAAACTAAGGCAGAGTTAACTCCAATATAATACAAGTCAGCACAGATCACAACACCCAATATTGATGATACAGACATAAGACATTAATCAAATGCCTGCTG